CAGTGTTGATTTGTGTAAGATGTTTCCCTTGGGTGGGGAGTCAAGATCCATGGGACACAATTTAAAAATAGGGCAGATGCCACAAGATGAGGAGAAACTGTTTTAAAAGAAAGAATTGTGAACCTTTGGAATTCTCCACCCCTGATGGCTGTGGAAGGTCAGGCTTTGATTATGTTTAAGGTAGAGATTGATAGAAATTCTCATTCCCAGTTGTGTACAAAGTTTTGGGAATGAGGTAGGCGAAAGTGAAGTGTTTGATCAGCCAAGATCGTATTGAATGGTGGGGAACATTTGATGGGCTGAATGGCCTACTCCTGTTCCTACCTGTACCAGTCTGTGTCAAAGTTATGTCACCTTAATAACTTAATACCTCCTTTTCTTTGCATTGCCTGCAAATTCAGCCACCATGCCTTCAATTCTCTCATCCACATCATTGATACCAATTGTAAAAAGCTGAGGGTCCAGGATAGAGCCATGTGGGATCCCACTCCTTATATCCTGAAGAAGAATGATTGGTTTCGATTAGATCCTCGTTGAACTTTTAACATCTTTAATGTAATATATTGCTGAAGATCGAGTGTAGTTTATGGCATTTATGGCCTTTGATTGCGTCATGGTGAAAAGCTTTTGGTTTCAATCATGATCGTCGTGACTTCTTTCTTTAGGCAAATATGTGGGTTTTCAGATTTGCAAGATTAAATAATAAAAACTCTATTGGTCGCACTCAAGATCATAACATTGGAAAATTCTGAGCCGCATTGATAATTCAAATGATTGTTTTATTGTGAAAGAGGCTAAGCCTAGATGTGATAAAACTAAGGGCTGGTGTTAAGTGGAAAAAGTTGGTGAATTATTCATGCATCATGATCTCAGACTAAAGTTTCCCATTTCTAATGTAGTATAAATTGTTTACATTACAGCTTGTCACAACATTAATTAATAGGCCCCTATCAAAACTCACGATGTAACCCAGCAATGGTGCACAAAGAGATTTGTTAAAATTTCTCGACAGATGGAATGGTGGAACTACCCAGTAAGCCTCTTTCAATTGTTAACAGCAGACTATAACTTTAAATTGAATTTATATTTTGTATGTTGTGTGTTAAGGAAGGGGAGACATAATGTTGTTTCATTTTAGATTTGTTCTGCGAGTGGCAATCAGAGGTCTCTGGCGATCTGAAATAAAAACTGAAAGTGCTGGAGAAACTCTGTAGGTCGGGCAACATCAGTGAGAGAGAAACACGGTTAATGTTTCAGGTCAATGGCCCTTTATCAGAACTGGAAGATACCAGGAATGTTGCAGGAAGTTGGAAAGTTCACACTTTCCATTTCTGATGAAAGGTCATTGACCTTGCTCTGTGATCTATTGGTTGTGAAATGCTATGGGAACTGATGAGGCACTGTACTTCCTTTAGCTGGAAGTGTTTGCATTTGGAGGGGATGTTCAGCCACAGCGAGCTCCCTATGCACAATTCCGGACCCTGGACACTCTTCAAAGGAGAGCAGAGAGCTCTGTGGCTCCCTGATCACCATCCGTCTCTCAACCATGACCAGCCAAAATGAAAAACTGTTTCAGAGATAGTAGGAAATGCAGATGCTGGAGAAGGGTCTAGGCCCGAAACGTCAGCCTTCCTGCTCCTCTGATGCTGCTTGGCCTTCTGTGTTCATCCAGCTCTACACCTTGTTATCTAAAATGAAAAACTCAAACCTTGTCTGAGGGCTGTTTGTGGGATCTTGCTGTGTGCAAAATAACCTGCACCGCATTCTCTGTGAAACGTTCAGAGGACCTGGAGGTCTGTTCTATTTACAAACATCTGAATGAAGTTTCACAACGTTGAAGTGAGGTGCTATGGTTGACGCGTCCAGTGCATTACCAAATAAAAAGGTGAGATTGTACTTAGCGACAAGGCTACAGTGTCATAGAAAGAGGGAACAATCCAGAAAGGGAGTCAGGAAGTGTGTCTACGGGTGACAGAGAGTGGAGTCAAGGCTGCAGGATGTTGAGGTTAGGGAATGCCTGTATTTGTTTTTGATGTTAAAGTCATAGTGAGTTGAATTTACAGTTTCAATAGCTCCGGGAAAGATACCAGCTGAAGTAGCATCCAGTGACTGTACAGAAATTCACTGAAAGCAAACTGATTGCAGATATACCTTCTCTAAGTGTGAGCAAGGAAATTCAGTGCGGGATAGTGGCAATTCTTCATTGACGATGGGGTGTTTGTAAGAACACTACTAGAATAAAAGGAGTAGTGTTACTTTGAATCTTTTTCTGATACCTGTAACAAAATCTTTTCATCTGTTTGTGTTGTTTATTGTAATACAGTTCATGTATTTCTTGTCTAATAAATGTTTTATTCTTTGTATTAAAAGTACACTGCAGCATCTTCTGAATCTATTCATTAAAGACCTCCAGTTAAAAAAAAAATAAATTTAGGGTCCATTTAGCCAGGTTTCATTCTGGAATTAGATTTCTCCAGAATTAAAACCAGCCTCTTTAACCAAACTTTTGGTCACCTGTCAAAAATACTCTATTACGTGCCTCAGTCTCATGTTTTGCTTCATCATATTTTTGTGAAGTATCTTGGGAAGTTTTACAACATTGGAGGCAACTGCATAAATACAAGTCATTTTAAATCTATCCTTTCCTTTTGCCTCTGGATTCATTTAACTGTTTGGAAAGAAGGAGAAATCCTTGTGGGTAAAATTTTGCATGTCCTATTCACAGAACCTGGATCAAGAACAAACGTGAAGAAGGATCTAGGCCCGAAATGTCAGCCTTCCTGCTCCTCTGATGCTGCTTGGCCTGCTGTGTTCATCCAGCTCTACACCTTGTTATCTCAGATTCTCCAGCATCTGCAGTTCCTACTGTCTCTCTCAAGAACAAATGTGAGCAGTTTTGGGCGCTGTATCTAAGGAAGGATGTGCTGGTATAGGAGGCGATCCAGAGGCGGTTTACAAGAATGTTCCTGGGGATGAAGGGCTTGGGATGTAAGGAGCAGTTGAGGACTCTGGGCCTGTACTTGATGATGTTTAGAAGGATGAGAGGGGATCTAATTGAAACGTACAGAAGAGACCTCGATAGAATGGGCATAGAGAAACTGTTGGCACGTGTAAGAGAGACTAGGACCCAAGGGTACAGCCTCAGAATGTGGGGAGGGCCATTTAGAACTGAGACGAGGTGGAATTTCTTCAGCCAAAAGGTGGTGAATCTGTGGAACTTATTGCTGCAGAGGGCTGTGGAGGTCAAGTCTTTGAGTGTCTTTAAGTTAGAGATAGATAGGTTCTTGATTAGTAAGGGGGTCAAGGGTGATGGGGAGGAGGCAGGAAAATGAAGTTGAGAAACATATCAGCCATGATCGAATGACAGAGCAGACTGGATGGACTGATTGGTCTAATTCTGCTCCTCTATCTTATGGTCTAATGGAGAGCTGTTAAAATCTCCTTTATTTTGAAATATTTTCTATTTTGTGCAGCCCTGTAAATTTAACCTTCTTATGTGTTTATCCATCACTTTGTCAAAGCTCTTGTTGAATCTGCTTCCATCTCTGTCAGGCAGTGCGAGATTATAACTGACTCCCAAACATTGTTCTGTTCTTGGTGCCTGACTCTCCTCCCATTATTTTCAATCTGTCTCACTCTGGTTACCATGCAGACTTTATCAAATGCCTTCTGCAAATCTAAATACAATGCACCCACTGGTTCCGCTTTGTCAACAGCACTAGTTACTTCTTCAAAAAACTCCAATAAATTAGTTAAACATTAGCTAGTTCACTTTGACTAAACCATGTTGGCTCTTACCTTGAACCTATCCAAGCGCCCTGCTATAATCTTTAATATTAGCTTCTAACATTTTCCCTATGACAGATGTTAAGTTAACTGGCTCGTTGTTTCCTGCATTCCTCCTTCCTTTCCTTTTGAATAAACATTAGCTTTTTTCCAATCTAAAAGAACCTTCATTGAATCTAACGAGCTTTGGAAAATTAAAACCAATGCATCAACTACTTTACTGGTGACTTCTCTTAAGACCCTAGGATGAAATCCATCAGGACCTGGGGGCCAGTTCCAAAAATTTACTCAGTGCTAATTGCCTAATGATTGTAATTACCTTGAGTTCCTCCGTCTCTTTTAATTCCCGATTTACAGCTAATTCTGGGATGCTATTTGTATCCTCAATATAGAAGGCTGCGGCAAAATATCTGTTCAATTTGTCCCCACCCTTACCTCCTACTTACTAACCTCATTCCACCCCCTTGACCTGTTCGTCCTCCTTGGACTGACCTACCTCCTCCCTACCTCCCCACCTACACTCACCTTTACTGGCTCCATCCCCGCCTCTTCGACCTGTCTGTTTCCTCTCCACCTATCTTCTCCTCTATCCATCTTCTATCCGCCTCCCCCTCTCTCCCTATTTATTTCAGAACCCCCTTTCCCTCCCCCATTTCTGATGAAGGGTCTAGGCCCGAAACATCAGCCTTCCTGCTCCTCTGATGCTGCTTGGCCTGCTGTGTTCATCCAGCTCTACACCTTGTTATCTCAGATTCTCCAGCATCTGCAGTTCCTACTATCTTTATTCAATTTGTCTGCTTTCTCTTTATCCGGCATTACAAATTTCCCAGAATTACCTTCTGTCAAACTGACACTTTTTAACTTTTCTTTTTTAAACATCTGAAAAAACCTTTTTCTGCCCTTTATTTACATACTTGGTTAATTTTCTCTCATACTCTAATTTTCCCCTCCTTTTTAATCTTTTACTAATTCTTTGCTAATTTTTTTTTACATTCTGTCTACCCTTCTGACTTGCCACTTATCGCCACTTATCCTTGTGGAATTATATGTCTTATCTCTGAGTCTGAAACTAGCTTTGGCCTTTTTTGTTAAGCACAATGGCAGATCCTTCCTTTAGAATTTCTCTCATTTGTTGGAATGTATCTATTCTGCACTTTCTGGAATATCCCTTAAATGATTGAGAAGTGAGTTGAAAAATTGAAAGCACAAGGATATTGTAGGCAGAAATTCCATTTATTAGCAAAGAACAGCCCTGAGTTAAGTTCGAAGCTTAGTTCTAAAAACTGATTGATAAATGCTTGTAAGCAACTCCAAAGATTTAATGTATTATTTTGTTCCAAGCTGCAGGTTTCACACATTCTCCTGTCAGTAAGAAACTTTTATATGTCTGGTATATATATATTCTATTTGGAAAGCTCCCACTTACCGAATCTGCATGCTCTTAACACTGTCCTGTTCCACTTCATTCAGTACCCGATTGTGTTTTTAATCCAACTGTAATACCGTGATACTCTGGTGTAAAAGCCGTATCTTCCAGAAACTGCACAACCATCACCCCAGCTAACAATGCCTGTTAAAAACCATGTATTTTTGTAGTTTGTGACATGAGGACCCCCACTGTCTCCGTGACATGCATCTTTACTTCCATCTGGGTATCCGGCACAGAACATGTTCCCAGTGACGCTGTATTTACTGGAGTCTTTGCATTTACTGCGATCGACATAAGGGATGTCGATTTTCTGAAGTAGTACTGCAGTGGGTCCCTTGTCAGCGAGCTGGCCCCAGCCGCTAACCATCCCATAAGCTTGTGACATTAACACCTTTTCGGCAAAGCGTTTCTCAGGGACACAGATGGGGATGACCAAGCTATTGAACTGTATCGGTGTTTTCAGCAGGATTAATGCAATGTCGTGGTCATACCGGCTCCGACTGGAATTGTATGTTGGATACATCACCACTTTCTCCACCTCGTGGTACATCTCCGTCTGTTCAATTTTGTCAACGTTGTGCTCACCTGTTGCGAAGGAAAAAGTAAAAACGTACAATAGCTGCAAAGGAGAAGTGACAGCCTATAGATAACACATTGTGGAGCTGCAGGAACACAGCATCATGCTGCCTGGCCTGCTGTGTTCCTCCAGCTCCACACTGTGTTATCTCTGATTCCAGCATTGGCAGTTCTTGCTATCTCAGAAGTGACAGCCCAGTCGTCTTATCGCTAGTCTATTAATCCAGAAACCCAGGTGATATTCCAAGGAACCAGGTTCAAATCCTGCCAACCATCCAGGATGGGAGAATGGTGAGTTAATTGGTTTAGGGACAGTGGTAGTAATCCTACTTCTGGGCCAGGAGACCTGGCTTGGTGGCCTGGGAATTCCCTCCCTAAAGGCATTTTGTGTCAACTTACAGCAGGAGGACTGCAGCGGTTCAAGAAGGCAGCTCACCACCACCTTCTCAAGGGGCAACTAGGAACAGGCAATAAAATTCTGAGCAGCCAGTAATGCCCAAGTTCCAAGTGTGAATAAAAAAAAGTCCCACCAGCTCCAGAGATATATCACAACATCTCCAAACAGGTTGCTCTGAAAATACCCACAGTAAGAGCAAATAGATAAAAGTCAGTGAGAGATAAAACAGGTTTGAGCTTCTAAAAACCAAAAGAACTGTGGATGCTGTAAATCAGAAACAAAAACAGAAGTTGCTGGAAAAGCTCAGCAGGTGTGGCAGCATCTGTGAAGAAAAAAATCAGACTTAATGTTTCAGGTCCGGTGACCATTCCTCAGAACTGATAGTAGCAAGGAAAATGTCAGTTTATATGCAGAAAATAGGGTGGGGATGAGGGGTAAGGAGTAATTAATAGGCAGGGATAGAGCCCAAAGAGAGAGAAGAACAGTTGGATAGATAAAGGAGTTGATAATGATCAGGCTGCGAGGGTGAATGACTGTTAATGGAGACTGTTAGTGACTAACAACAGGGGGTGTGTAGTGGCAGGCTATGTGATAGCAAAGTCTGGTGTGTGGGGTAGGGGCTGGGACTTGGGAGAGTTTAGGCCCTAAAATTATTGAACTCAATATTGAGTACGGAGGGCTGTAGGGTCCCCAAGTGGAAAATGAGGTGTTATTCCTCCAGCTTGTGCTGAGTTTCGCTGGAACACTGCACCAACCCAGAGACAGAGATGTTGGTCAGGGAGCAGGGTGGTGTGTTAAAGTGGCAGGCAACAGGTAGCTCAGGGTCTTTTTTGTGGGCAGAGCATAGATGTTCTGCGAAGTGGTCACTCAGTCTATGCTTCGTTTCCCCAATGTAGTCTGTGGAAGGAAGCAGAGTTAACTTTTCGAGTCCAGTGACTCTTCTTCAGATCATCAGATTCCTGGATTACTGGGTCCATTTTGGGGAAAGTAGGACCTGAGCTTGTTAAAAATGTTTAACTGTAATCAAGTGTAATTGATCATGGGGAATTTGTAGCTCACTCTTGTGGAATTCCTCTTGTGTAAGTTTGACACATACATACACACACACACATAAACATACACTGATAGTCACAAACGCGCACACACACACACGCATACACTCACACGTTCACACACACACTCAAATTATCTCAGACACACACTCAGACACACATAGTCACACACTCATGCACACACAGACACGCGCACACATATAGACACTCACACTTGTACAAACACACACACATAGTCACACACATACACATACACACACACACACACGCACACTTACACACACACATACACACACTTACACACATTTATACTCACACACACATTTACACACACAGGCACATACTCTCCCAAATGAAGTGCAGCTGTACAAAGGAACTGGTGCTTTTTACAAGTTCTCTCTCTGTGATGCTAAATGTGAAAACAACCTCCTTCACTTGTTACTTACCAACGACAACCCGAAATGTCACAGGGTAATAAAAACAATGTGCAGCTGTAATCACCCACTTTTCACTCAAGATGGTTCCACCACAGAACCCCTCCTTCTTAGAATCATCCAGTAACAAGGCCTTCAACAAGAAACAGAGAAACATCATCACTTGGTCAGCTGGTGCAAAATTGCTGGAAAAGCTCAGCAGGTCTGGTAGCATTTTTGGAGAGAAAGCAGAGTTAATGTTTTGGGTCCAGTGACCCTTCTTCAGAATTTCATCAGCAGGATTTGTTTCGATACAGACTCCCAGCAACAAGAACAAATATCTTATCCAATGAAACAAGCAGCTGTCTTGCTCAACGACAGCAAAGTGCTGCAGGTGGTGGAAAGCTGAAACAAAAACAGAGAACACCACAAGAACTGAGTAGGTCAAACAGCCAGTGGGATGGGGAACTGGTGCTTTTGTCAGAGATTTCCTGCTCTACGCCTTCCACTGCTGGATCAACAAACATAGTGCCCGCCACCTAGAGTTCTCTATGCACAGTGGAATAATGCAGGACTCTATAAGGACAACATTCATTCTGTTTGTGATGTCCTGCCCAGTTATCTCCAGCCGCATAATCATAAACAGCTTTATTCAAACTGGAAGGCTGACAGGGTCTAGGCCCGAAACTTCAGCCTCTCTGCTCCTCTGATGCTGCTTGGCCTGCTGTGTTCATCCAGCTCTGCACCTTGTTATCTCAGATTCTCCAGCATCTGCAGTTCCTACTATCTCTTATTCAAACTGGAGTCACTTCAACCTGTCAAACCTGTAACAACATTAACCCTTTGAAGGAATTAGGGTACGTTCCCGACACAAAACACCAGAAGACAAGAAGATATAGGAGCAGAAGGAGGCCATTCAGCCCATTAATTCTGCTCCATCGTGCAATGAAATCATGGCTGATCTGATAATTATTAACTCCACTTTCCTACATTTTCGCCCATAGTCCTTTCCCCTGATGATTCTATCTCAGCCTTGAATATACTCAGTGACCCAGCCTCAACAACACTTTGCTGTAAAGAATTCCACAGAAAGTACCCACTGAGAGAGAAAAAAAAACCTTCCTCATCTCTGTTTAAATGGACAACTGACACTCTTAAGATCTTACCACATTATGGTCACTGTTCACTACAGTTTTTTTTATTTATTCATGAGATGAGGGTGTCGTTGGCTAGGCAGCATTTATTACTCATTCCTAATTGCCCAGAGGGCAGTTAAGAGTCAACCACATTGCTGTGGGTCTGGAGTCACATGTAGGCCAGACCAGGTAAGGATGGCAGTTTCCTTCCCTAAAGGACATTAGTGAATCAGATAGGTTTTTCTAACCTTCGACAATGGATTCATGGTCATCATTAGATTCTTAATTCCAGATATTTATTGAATTCAAATTCCACTATCTTCCATGGTGGGATTCGACCTGGGTCCCCAGAACATTATCTGGGTCTCTGGATTAACAGTCCAGCGATAATACCACTAGGCTATTGCCTTCCCTCTGAGATCATTTATCAAAACTGCTTTATTGCACTTGATGAGGTCCAGAATAGCCTTGTTCTCTTTGGTCTCCAGCAGCTCCCACATGCTACAGCTACAATACATCATCCTGCCATCAGTATCATAACTAATTTTTTAATACTAGTTTTAAGGTCACACTTAACAAGCTATTTTTGAGAAAAAGAGAGAAAGAAGATTTGAAACCTAAACACAAACTAAATACCTTTCCGTTCTTCAAAGATTAGAAATGCTCACTAATCCTACTCACCAATCAGCTACATTTCCTGCACTTGTGTCACACTAAGTTCCACGACATCTCTCTGCCACTGATCTCACTGTTGCTTGACCTCTCGATCCACAATTTTTATCTTCTCCTCCTGACCTCTCACTCAAAAGATATTATTATGAGCCTTAGAAATAACATAAGCCCTACTCATTTACCAGATACTCATCAACTGATCAGCCTCTTCTCCTGCAGCTGAACAAGGGGAGGCAATGGCCTAGTGGTATTATCGCTGGACTGTTAATCCAGAGGCCCCGATAATATTCTGGGGACCTGGGTCGAATCCCGCCACGGCAGGTGGTGGCATTTGAGTTCAATAAATATATGGAATTAAGCATCTAATGATGTCCATGAATCCATTGTCAATTGTGAGGCAAAACCCACCTGTGTCACTAATGTCCTTCAAGGAAGGAAACTGCCATCCTTACCTGGTCTGGCCTACATGTGACTCCAGACCCACAGCAATGTGGCTGACTCTTAACTGCGGGATGGGCAATAAATGCTGCCTGGCCAGCGACACCCTCATCCTGTGAATGAATGAAAAAAAATCAATTCCTAGGATAAAGCTACCAAACACCTCTGCCTCACCTCCTGAAGCACTCAACTCTGACAATTGGACATGAATATTGAAGCTAGGAGCCATTCAGTGCATTAAAGCTGCTCACTGTTCAGTAAAGCCAAGGCTGATCTGATTGCAACCCATACTCTGTATTCGAATCTACTCCTAGTAACCTCCACCATTGACACTCAGTAGCAGCAGTGTGCACCATCTCCAAGATCCTCATAAAGCACTTTCCAGACGCACGGCCAGTTCCATAGAGAAGAACAAGGGCAGCAGATACATGGGAACACCACCCCCTGCAAGTTCCCCTCCAACCAACTCACCATCCTGACTTGGAAATATATCGCCGTTCCTTCACTGTTGCTGGGTCAAAATCCTGGAATTCCCTCCCTAAGGGCATCATGGAGGTACCTACAAGCACATTGTCTGCAGCAGTTCAAAAAGGCAGCTTACCATCACCTTCTCAAGGGCAACTAGGGACAGGCAATAAATGCTGGGCCCAGCCAGCGATGCTCACTTGTTATGTCTTGCCAACCAGAAAGTGACTCATTAATGCCTTCACT